ATAGACATTTTTGAAGGATGGTTTTGATATGCTTTAAAAGAGATAAATGAATCTCCGAGACGTAATTGCATAGCTGAGTTAAGAACATGATTTTTTTTTATTTATGGAATAGATAAAATATGTAGAAAATGTCACAACATTAGATTAACACATTAAAAAAACCAACATGCCACATCTACCTAAATAATTTTGTAAAACAGCTGAAAAAGCAAATTTCATCAAATTTATACAGTTTATAGTGGAATAAATATGGCGAGGATTAACTAACCCTAAGTTTCACAATGGGCAGCTTCTAGCCGGTTGGTTGAAGCTGGGTCTTGGCCACACAAGGATCACTGGACAAGAAATCAGTTGAGCTGGACTAGAGCTGCCCATTTGTCTTAATAATGAATGCTCCACACTGTTTTAATTGGTTCAGGCTGCATCACAGGTGCAGGCATAGCAATGGCACTTGAAGCATAAACCTGGTGATATGTTCCTTGAACTCCATGATCAGAATAGGGTTCTGGAATGGAAGCTTCCATCAGAGACAGCGGAGGAGGAACGCATCCTCCATCTTGTGCAATTTCCACTGGTTGATAAAAAACCTCCGATGGTTGTAGGTATAGGAACGGAGCAGAAGAGGCAGGAGACTGAGGAACACTCCACTGCCACTGACCTGGTAGACACTGTGCAGGGGCCTGGTAGTGATATGCAGACTGCTGATAAACAGGCTGAGTTACCATCACAGGGGAACTAGATATAGAACGTGAGGGCCAAGGTGGTGGGACAGAAGTTACTTCTGGAGTATGAAAATAAGCAACACCATTATGGTAAGTGTAAGGATATCCAGTTGAAGTTGTTAGGTACATTGTTCCAGCTGCTGGCATTATACTGGAACGAGGGATCCCTACTTGTTGTTTTCTTATTGCTGGACCAATGTTTAGTTTCTTATCCTTATAATTCAGTTTTTCAGCCTCTTGTAAAATTTTTTGTGCATCTTCTTGTGTTTCAAAAGTGACGAAACCATACCCTTTAGACACTCCAGCTCTGTCATTTACAATCTTCACTTCTTTCACAGACCCATATTGAGAAAAAAATTTTCTTAAATCATTTTCATTTGTCTTAAAGTCAATTCCTCCTACGAAGATGCGATTAGTGATCACTGTTCCATATCTTGTGGCACTTGTTGGGTTATTCAAAGGCACAGGTGATGCAGGATTAGGGGATGAAGACAATGAATCTGTTTGTTTCTGATTTGATGTTTGCGCCGTAGGCTCGCTCTCCAGACCCGGCCGTCCAGCCGCTCCTGGCGCCCAGCTCCCGAAGAGCGCGGAGGAAGAACATGATTTTTTTTAAGTGAATTGATTGCTGCCTCTACCACTTAGTAGC